ACACCTAGTACGTGTTTTCAGAAGTAACATTTCCCTATTTGCGTTATTTTATTTGCGCAGTCTATTTTATATCACCACCATAACGTACCTCTAAAAGGGCTATCAAAGAAATCTCCGTCTATTGATTAAACACCGAAAGCCCATGATAGGGGATCAATACATATAATTGGGTACGTTGACTGCATTCCTAATGAAGATTGTTTCTCGGCATTAGGGGGAGATAATATACTACTCCGTAGCTTTTTTGGAATGCCAAGAAATTTCATAAGAATAAAAACATCTTCATTTAAATCCATGTACTAGTTAGATTGAATTGGAAGTTCAAAAGATAATCTATTTGCGATTTTAGCAAATAATCTGCCAAATACATCTATTGATCATAATGATCATAAAAGAAGTGACTAGGTCCTATATCCTTGGACCAAACATATCTATCGATACTCATTGACACTAGAAGTGTAGGAGATCTATGGGTGAAAGAGATATGGATCATAATACTAGATCTAGTAAAGAAATATTGTCACTCTTGAAATAGCTTGAACAATTATGTCCTGCAGACGTTCGTCAAGATAACGAAAAACCCTGGTAAGACTTATAGGTGCACCAAACAAACGTAATACTAGGGATGCGGAACGACCAGATCAAAATATCTTTGGGAAATGTTTAGAATCTGGTTGTTTTAGAAATTGCCATTACTTTTACAAATATGGGAGTTTTATAAAAGGTTATAGTTGTCGACAACACAATTGCCATTACAAATTGCTCGTTATATGATAATCTGGATCCAGAGTTAGGCACCAGAAGTGCCATGACTATTTAATATATAAAGGAGCAATTAAGGCATAGCTCGACTCGCTAATATGAATAAATTCTTTTTATAACAATACACCATTAAGCGTTAACCCTGAAGGTTACAAATGGGTGTGTGCATGAAAGAGAAGTAAGAATAGCAAGGTGATAATATATGAAGTGAGTTTGTAGCCTATGGGTTCACGCAGAGACCCTTAATTGATTTTAATCAAATATACCCTCCCACGGTGAATGGCATTAAGTTCCGCTACATAACACAATTGGCAGAATAATAAATTTAGATATGCAGTTAAATTTATTTTTGAGAAATCCCTGATGGATTCATAATTCTCGAAATGAGGATTTATTTAAGTATTATTATGTGTCATTATTTACTCTTTAAAGGGTTGCGAATGGAGTTAATATCCTCATTGAAGGAATAATATGTACCATTGTGTGCTTGATAAAGGGTTGATAATGAACTTATTTATTATTTATTATCTCAGTCAAGATTGATGGTGTAAACATCAATGAAATATATAAAGAGCTTGATAATGTCAGTTCATGTTTAAAGACTGAGACTTTTGAAATAAAAAGCTTGTGAAAGCTATAAGTATTATCTCGACTTGAAGATCGAGTTTTTCTTTGAAGATTTTTTTTATATATACACCAGTCAGCCTACATCTAAAAATGCTTTTTCACATGTCTATATGCATATAAGTGTCATGTTTTTATCAAACTAAAGGTTGCCTAATAATCTCATGAAGCAGATAAGGAACTTTTTTTTGGACTCGAAGTCCCTTACTTCATTATCGTTGGAGCACCATTTTTAGAACCAGAAGTTCCATAATCGCAACATATTTGCGATGAAATTGCTAGCAAAATTTAGTGCTCATCCTACAAATGAAGTACTTGAATAATGATTAACATATCCTCCGGTATCTTCGAGATACAAAGACATGACATTTATGTAAGAAACCATGATACAGGTTTAATAGGCTACTTGGGTACTGGCTATTGTGTTTGATCCCTGCAATGCCAAGTCCAAACTGGTTATACAATGAATTTTCTAAATGTTCAAAATGAGGGCAATAACACTTGTGTTGCACCAATGTTATATGAGCTCTAGAAGAGCTATATGATTATTGTACAAGATTTTTTTACTCTAGTGACAATCCAGAAGATTTGTCCAATCAATTTCTTCAAATTTTGAAATACATTTTATCATGTCGAACTTGAAGATTGTTATCTTCAGGGGGAGACGGGAAGTACATTTACTTGAATCAATCCGGAAGATTGAACGTAAAATCCTGAAGATTAAGTCATAAAAGACTAACAGTTGCGCACTATTTGCAACACATAAATACATAAATATCATGTACTCTTTTCCTCACTAGTTTTCTCCCATTGGGTTTTTCTAGTGTGGTTTTTAACGAGGCATGAGTATGAAATAATAATGTAAATGGGAAAATGTTACAAAATAATTGCTTCAGTCGACAAACCCCAAAATCTTGAAGATTATGCAGTTTGCGCCCTGGTTGTACTCTTTTTCCCTTAACTAAGTTTTTCCCACAGGGTTTTCTTAAGTTAAGGTTTTTAATGAGGCGACCAAATACAATATATGTTTTTTCATATATCATGTACTCTTTTTCTTCAACTAGGTTTTTCCCACGTGGTTTTCCTAGTGAAGTTTTTAATGAGGCATGAATGTATGCTATCCATGTACCTTGTACTCTTTTCTTGTTTAGGTTTTTCCCACAGGGTTTTCCTAGCAAGTTTTTTTAATGAGGCAAGATCGTGGTGTTATAATGTCCAAGGGGGAGTGTTATAAATATAATTAAGTGTGGACATTATGAGTTGATTATGTAACTGATGTAACGGTCACATTTATGTCTACCATTATTACCTTCCGTTACAAATGTATATTATATATATGTTTTGTTGTAATATGAAAAATACAGATGAATGAATATGCGATTCCCCTTTTCTCTCCATTCTGTTTTTATTTTAACAGCATTCAATTTATTTACATGCAGAGAATTCTTTAATTGCAGTTACATTCACTGATTCACATAATCTAAATGTTATTTTAAATATTGATCTATAATACAAGATAGACCCTAATCTATAGTATAATTTGTCCGTACTTGACTCTTTTCACTCTTTGGCAAATTATATCGTCGACCACTATGGACCTTGGTCCAACACACATAATTTGATTTCATAATGCACAGAATTTATGTTCATAATACACATACATAAACGCGATATAATGAACATGAATTATGTGCATTATGAGCATGAATTTTATGTATTATGTTAAATGTTTATGTCCCCCTCAGCTATATAATGTACAAAATTCATGTTCATAATGCACAAAATTCATATTCATTATATCGTGTTTATGTGTATTATGAACGTAAATTATGTGCATTATGAGTATAAATTATGTGTATTGGACCAGAATTCACAGTGCACTGTAAACCCTGATCCATGATATAACGATTGTCACTCTTGTCCTCTCCTCTATTTATCATATTGAAAAGCCCATTCTTTAGAAGAAATTTCTGGCCCAATTGAGAGATTTTTTTTTTTTTTTTTTCCATATGACACCTGATATTCATACTAATAATGCTAATTATCCAATTATAATGTGTTATACCGATATGTAGGTGAGAATGTGAGATAGATTCTTGAGGAAGAAAGCAATTTTTTTTATATGTATGTGATTCTTAGTGCACAATAGGTCACAAGAGTTTGTGGTCCGGAAGCTCTAGTAAGATTGAGAGGTATTAAGAGAGTTTAATTAGTTTAAAAAGTTCAATATGAGTAATCTATAGCTTTTACAGCATTGAACAAAGAAATACATACTGAAATTTCCGCTAACGAGGCATGACGACGCTTGTCTACATGTCAGTCAGGTTGATCGTATCACGTGTTTGCACTGATGCAATTCAGATTGACGGGATGACTGAAAGGACGCTTAACATGTTGTCTGGATAAGATCTATTTCTCGGTCTCACAATTAAAGAAACATACGATTAAAGTAAAAAATGATTAAAAATTGTCATATACACTGTATATTCCTATCACGCACTGTTATAAAATTAATGTGAATTCGTTATAAATCAAGTCACAAAATTTGATTCTTACTCAATTAAACCTAACCCATTGTTTTAAAAACATGATAGCACATATAAAAGTGGATTTCCTCTCTCTAATAGACTAAAAAGTCCATAATTTAGAAGAAATTTGTGGCCCAAATTGAAAACTTCTTAATCTTTAATCAGAAGATTAAAGGTTTAGCAGTCAGTGTAAAGAATGAAAGTTACCTACCCTAAAAAGGTAATATGACAAACACTCTTAACTTAGAAAATGAAGTCTGGCCAAAGTCATATCTTAGTCAAGAAATCCTACAAATCAGCAATCTCAGCCATTAATAAAATCAAGAAAAATTCATGAATTTTTGAGATTAGCTGATTAAGATTATTCCACATACATGCATGTATAGACTATAGATTGCCCCTTTTTTTTTCCTTGTATCCAAATTCTGCAAAGTGAAACTAACTTAGTTGAATCTCATACATTCTGGAACAACTCACGTAAGGGTGTTGTTGCATATACATAAATTCGAATTTTCACTTTATGAGTAAGAGAAAACCTTTTTCACTTGAGTCAACACCTTTTGATTATAATTATAAACAGTAAATCTTAAACTCAACGGGGTAGCTTAAGTGGCAAATGAGCTCGTTCGATTCCTCTTGGACCAGCTCCCGTACCTCCCGGAACGAATGGGGATTAGTCGAGTCACGAGTGGATCTGAACCGTTAAACGGACAGAGAAAGACCCGAACCACCTCGTGATTTACACCAAAAAATAAATAAATAAACAGTAAATCTTAGGTCTCACAGTTTCCCCTTCACTGAACATTGATTGTCTCTATCAAATCACCCTTCTTAAAGAGATTAGGTGAATGATATGTATATTGTTAACACCACATAATCATTTCATTTATGGAAAAAAGCCATCCAGGAAAACTGACATCTTGCCATCTTAATGCCCAACTGCCCTCTAAGCAATCCAAAACACTACACCATATAATGCAAGATCCACCATTGTTGTTCACTCTCTGATCTTCTAATTTCTCCCTATCATCAACTCTAGCTCAGACTGAACTCAAAGAGAGAGAGAGAAAGATTGAATCTTTGGAGATGGGCAGTGAATTTTTGTCAAGAAAACCCCATTACGATATCACCATGTCAAAGAGGACCAGAAAGCCAACTAATTCAAACCTCATCAACATTCAAGAATCTGCTGATCATCATCAATCTGCAGAAAACTGCATCAGTGCTACAGTGAAGATGAATCAGGTGGTGAATGAAGGGATCATTCAAGGGGATGATGATGATGAGGAGAGCAAGAAGAGTTTGAAGCAGCTGATTGAAGGCCGCCGGAGAGGGACTTCTCTCGGAGAACACTTCACGGCGGAAGAGAAGCAGCTTCAGGTGGCGGTGGTGAAGGCGGCGGCGGCGGAGGACGGCGGCGGGTCTAATGGCGTTAAGTTCAAGCACATGATTAGCCGCTACACCAAAGTGTTGAGCCACATGATGAAGCTTAGGCGCGATGCGAGCAAACCCCATTTCCGATTAAAGGTGCAGCAGCTTCAGAAATAATAGTGATTTTAATTTGCAGGAATTATTGGATCGGATCGGATCGGATCTCCTCGTGAATCTTCTTCATGCAGAAGAGTCATGCAAAGAATGGGAAAAAAACACATTTTTGAGAAGATGAGAGGTTATATATATGTGTGTGTGTGTGTGTGTAATTGATTGTATCTATAAGCTATTTTCTTTCTGGAATCTTGGGTCCTGGTGCATTTTGGACCTGGAAACCTTCTTCAACCAAGTATGTATATATGAATATGATGAGCAAAACCTTCTTGCTTGTTTCAAGTATACTATACATTGCGCAGAAATACTCAATTTTCTCTTTGTTTAGTTCTTTATTTTACCCACTGTTTGCAAAAATCGCGGCTATCGGCGCCTAGGTAGGCGCCAGGCGGTCGGCTTTCTAAGTGCTCTAGGCGCTCTAGGTGGTCCCCAGGCGGAGGGCGCCCACCTAGGCGATCTACGTGGTCCCCAGGCACCCTAAGCTATATGCATCTAGTGATTTTTTCAACATTGCTTTTACCCTAATCATAATAGCCCTTCACCAGGCTGAGTGGTTTACCTTATACCATGGACCTAGATCGACTTTGCGAGGTGAATTTGAATCCAAAATGCACAATTTGTATATTGAATGTTCACAATTTACATGCTAAATGTTCACAATTTATATTTTACAAAATTGTGAACATTTAGTAAATAAGTTATGAACATTCAGTATGCAAATTATATATTTCGAACCCAAATCGCCCTTGCAAAGTGGACTCACTTCGGATTCTCTTATCCTTTTAGGGTTTCATTCCAAGTCGAATCCATAGAATAATTTACCGTGATTTACCCATCCAAAGTGTACAGTTTGATTTCACAATCTACTTTCAGGTGACAATAAAGCTACAGACTCTCGGGATATAGCTCAATTGGTTTACATATCCAAAGAGAGTTTATAGGTAGTTTTACTTTGTTCATAACGGTAAAATGTAGGGTTTGATTTTGCAATTTACTTCCTCCACCAATACACATGCATGCATACAAAAACACTCTTATAAAACTACACTCTCAAAGCCATGAATTTGAAAGTGAGCATTATGGTAACAGTACTTACAACATGAGGAGTAATCTTAGGAACAAAAAGAAAATGTTGCTCAGATTCAGACAAACATGTTTGCCTGTTGACAAGAAAACACCCAAAATATGCCACTCAAGAAAATTCTGACATAAAACTTCCAAGAAAATACATCCAAGAACTAGCTTGAAATGAAAGGCTTGAACCCCATTAACAACAGGCCAAAGTATTGCAGTTACATTAACAAGGGCAAGCAGTAACAGAAACAGCATAAACTGAATTCTTAACCTTATACATACTTATACACTACATGTCCACCATTTGCAATGAAACAAAGAAATGAAAATTAATAATTAACAAGAAATGGAAAAATATATTTTTCAAAAATAAAAAAAAAAAGGGAAAAAAAAGAGGATCCATGAAATGACACAATACACAGTAGCACTGCAGTCTGCAGCTGCTGGATTTCCCCACTTCTATTACGCCTAAAGATAGGTTAGAATGTAACTTGAATCGAGGGGGACATCATGTTGTACCATTTTACATGCCTCTTGCCCTCTCGGGCTTTGGCCCCCAAAAGCTTAGTTCGCAAGACGATGACCGAGTCTTCAACATATGGAAATATGTAGCACAACACCAGCTATAGTGTAAGACAATACAAATCAGCAACTGTCAGATGCTTTACAGGAAGTAGTCGGGAGTTCTCCGGGTAACATCGGGTTCTCCCCTTCTTGGAGCAGGCTCAAACTGCAGCCATGTAAGAAACATCAATTTACCATGCCATGTGAACCAAGTAAAAATAGAAAACTCGCATATACATAACATAAATCATGACAGCAGATAATGTAAAGTAGCGCCAATAAAAGGTAAATGGGCCAAAACGTAAATGACTACTATGTAAGAAAGAATAAGCACCTGAATAAATGTATGTTCTTTGTTGTCATCAACTTCCAAAATCGAGGCCATGTTCCCACAACGATAACAGTAGTTTGGTGCGCTAAAAATGGTGACAACTTTTTGTTCCTGAGGCATTTAAAACAATTTGGAAAAATAGCTGAAAACCTATCAATGATCATATATGATCGATCTTAAAACTAGGAGGTAAAGATCATTACATGGCTCCAGTTATATCCTTCCATAACTAGCTGATGGGCTCGGGCTATGAGTTTCAGACTGTTGGTATGGTTGAACTGCTCAGATATGTCCTATAAAAAGTAACATGCAGAATATTAGATAGAAGGCCCACCAAAAAAAAAAAAAATTCAAAAGTTCATCTAATTCTCTGTAGATTAGGAGGCAAAAAAGTACCTGACCGAAGGTATATCCAGCCCCTCGAGGAGAGATACCCCAACCGCAACGATCATCAGGGTCAGACCATAAAAGATCACACATGGGGCCTTCATGTGGCACTTCTTGAACACGATCAAAACTTCTTATATTATCAAGGGTTTCAATAGATGGAGACAACCCACCGTGCAAACAAAATATTTCGGATTCAACCTAGAATTCACATTCATAGTATGAAATTTTTTCAGTAAATTTTTCCAAGAAGGTAAAGTTGTCAATCCAGTGGTGTACACTGTTGTCAATCATCAAGGCAGAGCTAAAGAGATGATTAACAAAAAGACAGTTGTTATCATGAAACTTGAGAGAAAATTTTAATTTCTGGGCATGTAGAGAATAATAAATAGCCAAATGTTAGCAGAAATCAGCCAGCAGAAAATATAAAAGACAGTTCTTAATGTGATACTTGATTTCATAGAATAGTTCATTTGTGGGATTGGACAGAAAGATATATAATAAAAGTTACTAACCAATGCAGTCAGAGGAAAATAGTCAAAGAGATCCGTGAATATCTTCCAAACATTAGCATTACCATACCTGAGAAGAAAAGATGGAAGTTTTATGTATCGTGACACTAATAACAGCATTTTAAAGATTTATGCAAACAGACAATCCTCAAATTGTGCATAATAGCAAGCAAAGAACGCTGACCGAAAAAGGGGGAAAATCCTTTCTCACCAATCTGTGAAAAGCCCCACCCCTTCAACCCCCATGGGGGAAAAACAAGGATACAATGATACTAGTTCAGTAGTTCAGGAGAGATTTTTATCATAGTGCACTTATTATGGCGTATTGAGCTTTAATTTCAATGGTTTTGGCTACTCTTTAAATAATGTAAATGTAACATAAATCAAGACACACTGGGTTGTCAAGTACAACCACATTAATCTAAGGGGTAGAGTCGGCCAAGTTCTCTACAAAATTTTAAGCATTAGAGCAGCAACATCAACATATACTTCGAGTTAAAGTAGCAATATAATATGAGGAACTTACTTCCGCAAACACTCATCATAAAACCCATAGACTTGTGTAATCTGCATCAAAATTAGCAATCAACATTCAGCACATAGCATTCAACAGGAAGAATTACACAAGTTTTAACAATACAAGAATAATAAGCTTATTTCTAACTAACTAAACCCTCACCCAGAGGGATGTGGGTCACATCTTCCTATCAAAAAAGAGAGTAAACTGAAGCGAATATGCAATCTAACACTAAAATGGGGAAGGTTAAGTAAATAACATTTGATATGTTAAGGCTCTTAAAGTTTAGACATGTTTTAAGATCTGAACTTGAAGCACCCTTGCCTAACCTACTCAAACAAATGAAAGATCCCACTCGGTTCAAAACCCACATAACAAGGAGTACAAATAAGTTAAATATTAGCCACCCATGAAACATAACTTGGGTAACAAAGCCAGTATCTGAGGCACACAAACCCTTACCACCCTCACTCAAAAGCATCAAAACGAATAAATGAAATTGAAAAGAATATGAAGTATAATCATGAAAAAATTGAATCACCAAGTACCCATCCCAAAGCAATGGTCCAACAATTAATCAGAAAGGGGACTAAAATGAACTACAAGCAAGTGAAGGAAAAAGATTAATGTCATATATTACCTGTCGACTTTCATGGTTTCCCCTAAGAATTGTAATTCGCTGAGGATAGCGCACTTTCAGAGCTACCAAAAGCTGAAAGATGGCCACAATGAAAATGTTTCAGTGACTCACAATGTGTAGCTAAGTCTTATTTCAATCATTCTTCTTGGGTGGTCCAAGGGCACCTCCAATTTGGTTATAATATGAAAGTGTAGATAACTAGTATGGGAGCTATACATAATTTTCCAAATCTATGGAGAAATGTATCTCCAAAATGTAGAAGATGTACCATTAAGACCAGAAAAGTATCATAAATGAAGTAGAAAGCCCCACAGTTTAGTTACTTACAGTAACAGTTTCAACCGAATAATACCCACGGTCCACATAATCTCCCATAAAGAGATAATTTGTATCGGGACACTGCAAATAAGAAACAACATAAATTGATAAATAAGAACACAGAACCAGCAGTTCACACGCTGCTAAGTGATAATGAAACTGGTATGGCTAGAGTGTTAATTACTTGTCTATTAAACCTATGTGAACCATTATTGGCACTTATATTTATAATAATGCATGAAATAGCACAAGTGGAAGTGATTTTACTGCTTTGAAACAGTCTAGAGATCCCGGTAAATTTCTGGTGTAGCAAATGGGGTGGATACAACACTAAAACTAATGTCACTCATTTAAGTACCCAAAAAAGCACAGTTTTTTTAATGTTAAACAAAGATTAGTTTTGTTTTGTTATAACCAGATATCTGCCCAATGATATTACAATTTAAAAATTGTAAAAGCTTACAAAACAAAACCACCACTATACATACATAAATAAAACATGCATACAAGGATACACACAGACACACATAAACATATGATTGCATTTCTACTAATAACAGTTAAATGAAGTACATCTCTTCTTTCCTTTTACTTGTGAAAGTAAATTAGTAAGGTAGTAGTGGTAGTTGCCTAATGGTGGTGGATGGGTAGGTAGGTGGA